CCCTGGGAAGTGATGCGCCAAGAAGTGCTTCCTTTGGGCTGAAAAACATTCCCCACCACAGGTGAGGTGCCCCTGCTTTGCAGGTTGGTTCTTGGAGTCTCTGATTTCAAGCATTTCAGCAGCTCCTGCAGGGCAGGGCCTGATCCAGAGTCCCTGGAGAGCAGCTGCCACTCAGTGCGGACAGAATTCAGAGCAAGGCTGCTCCACTCACAGGGGGCCACGAGCACCCCATGGGCGCTAGAACCTGCGCTTTGCCCGCTGGAGGTCTCGAGATGCTGCACTACAACTCCCATCATGCTTGGCCACGCTATACTGGCTGGCACTGATGGAAGCAGGAGTCCCACAATCTCTGAAGAGCCACGGTTTCCCCACCCCACGAGCCCACTCAGGCCCTCTCCGTGCTCTGCTCCGCCCTGCCGGCCTCCTCTCTGCACTGGCAGAAGCACCTCCAGAGCAGGAATAGTCACCACCAGGGCAGCTGTTTAAACCTCCTGCTTCAGGTCTAAACAACACACTTCCTTTCCAGGCAGGGCAGGGCCAGGCTGGGCCACAGAAAACCCATTCTGGGACTCATCACCTCCAAGATGCAGCAACGGGGGAGAGGAGGAGGGAGATCTGGGAAGCCACACAAAGAGCCCCTTGTGCAAGCCCAACGGCTCTTTCCAGCCACCAACGGCTGCAGGGCCAGGAAGCAGGTAAGCCAAAAGGGCCGCTCCTTTGTAAAGCCAGCTGGTTTGCAGGCGCCATGAGACAAGCCGGGGGGTGCAAAGGCTCCGCCGGAATCTCGAGGCACAGGACAGAGCGGCGGTTCTCGGGGAGAGCTGGAAGCCCTCCTCCGGACCAGGGCTTGCAGCCGTCCAAGCTGCAGGACCGGGTTATTTCTCCAAGAGGCCCAAAGGGCGGTGCCCGCCGGCCCCTGCCAGGGCCGTCCAGCTGCTCAGCAGCCCATTTGATGTGCCGCCTCCACTGATACCCGCCTTCCCTTCCAGTTAGCATACACGATCCTTCTCCTCATTTCTTCCACACAACGGCCCTGCAAGGTGGACCCCAGCCCTATCCATGCTGGCTGGGGATAATGGGGTTGATGGTCCAGCACATCTGGAAGGTGCCAGTTAGAGGAGGTGGACATCAATGGCTTTTACCAGCCGTACCTGCAGCGCACGAACGGGGCGTGCGTGCTCACAGTTGTGAAACCCAGTGGGCGGCTTTGGGCCAGCCCGACTCAGCATAACCGGCCTCAAAGGGCTGTTGTGAGGCAAAATGGAAAGGGGGCACACTATGTAAACGGCTTCTGGCTCGCTGTAAGTTGAAAAAGCGACAGCGATAAAATAAGCAAGAGGGAGCTTTGCTCTTGGGTCAGGACTCTGGCATGGGGGGGGGGGGCATAAAAATCTTTTCCTTCAAGCCACGTTCCTAACGTCAGTTCCTCCACGTTATGCAACGCACACCCAGCAGCTGCTTGCCAGCTTGGGAAAACATCCATGTACTCCCAGTTTTCCTTAACAGAAACAAAGCTCCAGGATTGGGGAAGATACTCACCTTAAAAAAAACTGGGGGCGGAACAGGCTAAATTGCTCTTTCCCCAGGAAAGCAGGTCTCACCCCCATTTGGGGACCCCTCCCCCAGGTTCATGGATCCCTGGCCTCTTGGGCAACCGCTGCCCAAATGCGGAACCCAGTAACTGGGGAAGCAGCGCTTTAAGTCCGCACTTCCATTTTGACCTGCAAAGGTGTCTGGCCAACCTACACAAACATTTGCAATCCTCCTTCTTCCGTAACCGTTTTCCTTCCTAAAACTAACCTCTTGAGACTTCTCCCCTAATCACGCTTTAACGCAATCTGCATAGTGCTACCTCCATCTGCAACATTCATGGGAGCACACACACAGAGAGGGCAGATCCCTGCCCCAAGGAGTTTACAGTCCAAAACCCGACAGAGTGTAGGCCACCAAGCAAACTACAGCGGGGAGGCAGAATCACCCTCCCCCCCGGAGGCCCGTGTGCACAAGCGACTTCCTGTGCAGCGCTGGGCATGCCTGTCAACCCAGGAGTCCCACTAAATTCAGCAGAGCTGAATCCCAGGGAGACAGGCATGGGACGGCCGTTTTCACACGCCTGGCAACAGAATACTGAGTGCTCTGCGGTGGGTGTGGTGGCTGCTGCGAGTGTCTAGCTGTGAGGCGCATGGGGAGAGGAATTACAATCCACGCCCAGCCCAAGCACTAGCCCTCCCTCCGGACTGCCGTGGGGATGGGAGGAGGAGCGTATATGGACCCCCAGGCCCCGAAAAAGAAGGGAAGATAAAGGGGCACACGTGTCTGCACAAGCTGCAGCCTTTCTTCCATGTGGCACAGTCACCATGCGGCTGCTGCGAAGGCAGCACTGCAAATGCTCTCCCACTCAGCACAAAGGAGAGACTCTGAGTTTGCTGGAGAGCATGAAACCCAGCCTCCTCCAGAGCAAAGACACAGAGAAACGCTGGGGCGGTGGCAGCCGAGCTGTGCCCGGGGACGGCAGCCGAGGCAGTTGCTCCGCGCGTCACCCACCAAAACTCGTGCCCAGGGTGGCCCCAATCCCAGCTCCAGCCTGGAATGGAAAAGCCCCGGGGGAGCAGCACGCACTGTCCAATGGGGGAGCGCCCCCAGGCGGTTGCACTGCAACTCCCATGCTAGCTGGGAGTGATGGGAGCTGAAGTCCAACACACCCGGAGGGCCCGGGCCAGGGAAGGCTCGGCCCCGCTCCTCTTCGTGCGGGTGGTAGCCTGAAACTGACCTGGGCTCTGGCCCACCTAGCAGGGAGACGCCCGTGTCCCGGGCAATGCTCCCAGCCTGGCCAGAAGTGCTGCGGGGATTGTCCATGGGACCTTCTTCAGGCCAAGTGGGGGCTCCCCCACTGCGCGTTCGCCCTGCCAGATGCAGGGCCGTTCTGCATGGTGTGAAAATGGGCACACAGGCCGTCAGACCCCCTCGAGGACCCTCCAGCTGAGCCGGCAGACACCTCAGAAGGATTCAAGTTCTGACGACTTCCGCCGCCCACGGTGGGGGGGGGGGGGGGTGAGTCACGCCTTTAACCGTCCCTCCCTAAAGAGAGAGGCAACTCTGCCTCCTTATGTCATCCAACAGCACGTTCAGGGCAAGGAGCTTCTGAACTGCTCTGGCTCACACGCTGGATTCTTCCTCACAAGCTGGTGACTTCATTAACACGGAGAAGCACCCAGAGCACGGGCACGGAGCTGCAGCCGGGACGGGCGCTGCTGACCTCTGCCGCCACCACCTCCCACTTGCATTATGAATGGTGGGTGCTGCTCCGACTTGCTCCGTGCGGCAGCCCGGACTCGCTGGAGGCGAGTGGAGAGTCCTCTGCAGGGAAAAGCAATGCTGAGCTCAACGGGGTTGGGAGTTTGCAAGCAACCTGCTTCCTGACAGAATGAGAAATGCCACGGAGAAGGTACTGTTTACACTGGCTGCCTGTTCGTTCCCAGACTGAGTCTGCCCACTATTAACGCCAGTGCTGGAGGCCCCAGTCTCTGCCCAACAGCAAGCGCCATTAGGGTGGCAGTGGCCAGAAACTGGGACTTCTCTGTGGCGGCACTACTGCTTCAGAACTCCCTCCCAGGCTTCATCCTTCCCAGCTCTTAATGAAACACGGAAAACTCACTGACTCAGAATGTGCTTGATGCTTAACACTGATGAGCCCTGGCTGAAGGGCACTTGCCGGACTGCAAAGGGTCCTTGTTTCCATAACCCGCCCGGGAAGGTGGCTTAAAATCCTTTAAATAAGAAACGTTTCCGTGCAGTAAGAATGCAGCGTAATTTCACTCCTCGGAGTGACCTGAAAAGCTCGCTCTAGCAAGCCAAGCCCCAGCAAGACCAGAAGAGGCCCCCGCTGGGTGAGACCAAATGGCCCATTTGCCTGTCTCCCACCGCGGAAAAGGACTGCTTCCTCCAGGCCCACCGCCCTCTGGTGCTGCTGCTCCCCTGCAACTTGGTACTCGGGGATCCACTACTTCCAGCCACGGAGGCTCCAGAGAGTCGCCACCACTAAGAGCCGCCACCAGACCTGCTCCAGGATCAGAGCAAACAGCAGAACTGGGTTGCGTTTTGACAGGGCAGCCGATGGAGGAGCAAGCCCCAGTGAGTTCAAGGGAGTTTACTCCCCTTTAAAGGCGCACGGCATTACCGCCAAACTCCGTTCTCAACGCGGTGATCCCAAATGCATCGGACAGCGACGCCCCCGCTCCCAGCCAGCTCAGCCACTGAGCGATCCAACAGATTGCCGCTCAACCCATTCAGGAGGTCACCAGGCTAAGGAAAGCAGCCTCAGCTTAACTGATCAAACCCATGTTAACAAAATAAAAGTCCAACACTGAAAAAGCTGAAAAGCGCAGGCCAGGGGCTTGCAATGGCTTTGCTCCAGAAACCCCGACGTCACCTTTTTCCAACGTTGCTGCCGTCATTATTATAGCTAGAAGAAATGCACACCAGTGGCCTGCCCATGACCGCCCACTCTTTCTGGAGACTTGTTTTCATACCAAAGACTTCAGGCTCCATCCCCAGCCAAAGAACCTTCATTCGAGGGCTGGGAGAACCCCTCTCTGCCCAAGGCCTTGCAGAACCGCTGCCAAACAGCACAGGTTGTCCGGGACTGGGTGGGATGCCTCAGTCTCAGGCAGTTTCACTGGTCACCCCTCTCAACCCTGGCCATGATCTGGGGGCTCACACACAGCCCCCCAGCTGAAGGTAAACAGGTGTCAGTGCCAAGAAGGGAGACCTCCGAAGAAACCCGGACTCCTAGAAAAGCGGGATGTCATTGCATCAAATAAGAGCAAACAGCCCCTGCCTGGATTTGGCAAGCAGCTCGGACTCTCCCTGGCGCCACCGAAGAGCAAGCCTTGCATTTTGCCTACGGCTCCCAAACCGCAAGCAGGCAGCCACGAAGTTCCCATTTCCTCTGCAGCGACTGACACACACATTCCACACTCAGCCTCTCGGGAGAAACTCACCAGTTTCCGGAGTGTCCCCTCGTCCATGCTCAAAAGCGCCTCCTCGGACATGCTGCCGGCTTCCTTTTGTCCCCCAAACGCTCGGCGATCTCTTCCACCGCCACCAAAGCGCGCAGGCCGAGAGGCGGCTAGTTCGGTGCTGAGAGGGACGCCGGCTCACCAGAGAAATTCTAGGAGAGAGCAAATCACAGCCATGTCAGGGCAGGAGGCAGACACCGGAGGGACGAGAGATTAGCAACCGGAGATCTTCTCCCGGGCTCATTAAACGGGTGTTGAAAGGCAAATGGGATCTGAGCAGCTGTTTCACAGGCTGCTAATCCCAGCACTGGAAACGGAGACCATCGGGAACACGCCAGCCGCAGCCAGGGCCAGCTTCACTGCAGATCCTCTCCATGTCTCCCGCTCCTTTCCAGGAAACTCTGAGCCAATGCTCTGAAGCATCCCAAAACCCACAATCCCAAACAGAGAGAGCCCCCTCTCCGCTTCTTGGGTCGGGCAAAGAGCCTCCGCAGCGCAGCCTGGGCTTCTCGGCGCTGCACGGAGGGCTTTCCAGGCAGCTCAGACACACACGATTCCAAAGCGCCCCGCGGGAAGGCGACCAGCCAGCACGTGAACCCGCCCACTCTTCTTCCCAACGGTTGTGCTGAAAGCACTGACTCAGGAACAAACTGCGCGGAAGTCCGTGAGATTTACTCATGAGTAAATGCATTTAAGTGGGAGTGACTAATGCCACGGCCCTTCTCATGATAGTGTCATCGCACACACCAAGATGCACTTCCATGTATGTCCAGAAATAACATAACACCAGGCTGATGGGAATTAAAAAGCAGATACTAACACACACTGTGGAACGCCAGATCTGGACCAGAGAAGAGAGCCTTCGGATCCCTGCCGGCCTTCAAGCTCCGCGCCTCCCTCTCTTCGCCTAGCCTAGCCTAGCCCAGAGCCTTGCTGAGAGGATGAAACTCCCTCTTAGGCCAGCCTTCCCAAATCTGGTGCCTCCCAGAGCCTGGACTGCAACTGCCACGAAGAAGCCTTGGCCACATGGATACGATGGGAGCAACAACCAAAACCTCTGGAAAGACTGGGGCGGGGGGGGGGCTGACTGGCTGGGCTTCGGGGAACCATGGGCCAGTGGTAAGGCCCCCAGGCTGTGGAGTCACCAGAATTCGGAATCCCGGAGAAGGCTTCCCCGTCCGATTCGGTGCCGTTCGGATGTGTTGGACTGCAACTCTCACACTGGCTGGGGATGATGGAAGCTGTCGTCCGACGGACCTGGACAGCGCCAGGCAGGGCAGGGCAGGGCAGGGCAGGGCTGTCTCGCGCGGTCTTCTGCTCCCCCCGCCCCCCCCCCAGCGGCGTGGAGGTGCCGCCTTCTTCGGAAAGCTACGACCAAGTTCAGCACCCCCGTTCAGGGCTGGCGGCGGCAACCCAGCGGACCACGCAACTCCGTCCCGGGCAGGAAGGGTCCCTGCGGCCCCGCCTTGGCTTGCCCAGAGACGCCACTTGGCTTCTGCGTCCGGACCAGGCTTTGCTTGACCCTTCCTGTCAGCCTCGGTCCCACCTCGAGCTAGGCAGGAACCCGCGCCGCTCCGGATTGGCCAACACGCGTTACACGCCCTCCCCAATCCGGATTGGACGTTCTCCTCCTGCGCCCCCCTCATCCGAATTAACACCTCACCGGCTCAGCCTTCCATGTGCTCTGCCCGGCTCCGCCTTCCGGTCCTGGTACCGACCCACTCTCTCCGGTTCCCGAAGCAGCTCTGAACCAGCCGCCCGCGCAGCCCAGCCAAGTTCCAGTCTCCCCGCCTTGCGGGACCGCCCCATTTTTAGCATTAGCCAACGGCAGCGCGCGCCTCTCTCCGAACGCGCCCATAACTGCTCCCTGCCGCCCACTATTGGCCCGATTCAATTTGTTGCCGCGCCTCCTCGTGTCGGGATCCGCCTCTTCTCACTTGGCATGCCGGGCCTGGTAGTTCTGCTTTTAGACAAGGAGCACAGTCCAGGTAGGTTTGGAGGCAGATAGGCATTAAAACTTTTATATGCCGTCCCGTATACATGGCACCTTGGGACGGCTCACAATCAGTAAAATCAAATACATTAAAAACAATCTAAACAATAAATAGGTTAATACCTTTTTATTTAATCAATAGTTTAATAAGTTTTAATATTGAATTGTATTGTTGTATTTTATTAATTGCGGCAAGAGTGGGTCATCAATTTATTTATGCTGTTAGCCGTCCAGAGACATTAGTAATTGGACGGCATACAAATTTTATAATAAAATAAACATATAGCCAATAAGACGTGACTGTTGCATTAAAATACTAATTTTTAAAATAACGGTTAAATAAAAAGGTTTTGACCTGGCGGCGAAAAGAGTATAAACTCGGCACCTAGCGAATGTTTCGCATTTTTATGCTGCCACATTTGTAACTATCGGGCAGCCCCCGCGGGCTGGAATCGCCCGGAGGTGGTTGCAGGAAACCCCCCAAAGGGAAATACGCCGCGCCCGGGGTCGCTGGCAGCCCTCCACACAGCGCCCACCACACAGCACCTCTGCAGGTCTGCTGAGCGCAGGGTCCCCCCGCACCAGCAGCGGGCAAGGCCGTAGAACTGCCCCCGCTTCGCTTGAACGGCAGAAAGGCAAGGCTGGAGGCTGGTGGGGGCAGGCTGCCCCCTAGGGACTGAAGGCGTTGCTCGTGCTCTAGGGGTTGTGGGCACCGGCGGGGGGACCCCGTAAAGGGACCTTCTCCCGTGAAAAGGTTGCTGATTCTGATGAGAGTGGCAGGAGAGCGGACCGGGCACCTCGGACACGCGGGCCAAAGAGCAGCCGCGTCTCGAACGGCCGAGGGCATGTCGCGCCCCCAGGGCTTGGACGCGGGCTTACAGGTGCTTCTCTGCTAAACAGCCCCAAGCCGTGTCTCGCACTGGCCTCCCTGGAGCTCAGGAATCCAGCGGCTGTTTGCCCTGCGCCTAGCAAACGCTGACCTTGTCTGCTGGCCGGGATTAAGGCCCCCGTCCTGCGAACGTGTGTTGAGACTCCACAGACAGGGCAGGGAGATGGAGGGGGTGCCCCCTGGGCTGAATTCCACGGACAAACCTCTTTGGCCTGTTGGGTGCCACATGGGGCTGGTTGGCTTGCTGCAGGAGGTGGGGACTCCGCTGTTTCCCCTCTCAGAACAGGTTCCAGAGGGAAATCCCAAATGATCACAGCTCCTTCAAGACCATGTGCCCAGTTCATTATGGCACGAGCGTTCATGGAACAACACCCAGTCCAGGGTGACAATCTGACCAGATTTCAGACGCGCGTCGGTGAAGGTTCTGCACAGATTGGCTGAAATGAGCAGCAGGGCAAGTTGTTTCCTCACAGTCCTTTCCCTGCCTTCCGGATGCTGCCTCACCGTTTGGCATCGCTAAGTTCTGTGCTGATTTTGTGAGCCTCCTTAAGGAAGACGAGTATCGTTCCAAGGTGGGATATGAATCCCGAAGCAAACAACATGCATGTGAATTGCTCCAGTGCGAGCCTTTGACTTTGGATCCCCAGCCTCAGGCGCCAGATCCTGGAATGCCCGTCCCCAACATGGTGACAGTGCTTTGCAGAACCATCAAATCCTCAGGGGGCCTCATCTGTCTCCACTGCAGTGTGAACACCAGCACCTGCCGCCCCCCTCGTACCTCTCGCGGATGCTAGCAAGCAAACTGCACTGACTTGAAATGGAATGGATGAGGAAAGAGCCGCCAGTGGAGCACAGTGACAAATCCCTGCCCACCCCCAAAAGTGGCGTTTTCAGGAGATTATGTGAGGGTCCAGCAGGGGAAGCCACTGCCCTCAAGCCAGGAAATGCCCCATCTGGGAAAAGGTCCTGGCACGGCCGAAAGGGCCAGGTTTTCCGAAGCAGGCGAGGGCCAGCAAGAGATGTTCCCTGCAGCTTCTGCTGAGGAAGGTGTCAATCGGTGGCTCGTGCGTTGTGGCTGGCTCTGGGGGTCGCAGGAGAGGGGGCCCCGCCCCGCTACTTCCCCCGCCTTCCCACTGCTGCGCCCGGCCCGTCCCAGTCTGCTCCATCACCAGGCCCCTTTCCCCCGCTGGCAGCTTGCCTCGGGACAATGGCCTTTTCTCACACTGCCCGTGTGAGTGGGCATGCCCTGTGCCCGGGTGTTTGCTTGTATATTTATTCATTCACATATTTATATGCCACCTGTAACTGCCAAAAGCCTTCCTAGGCAGCTTACAACTGACAACATATTAGAATCTACTAAAACAGTTTAAAAAATAAAACATCAATACAACAAGCAATATAAAGAAAGGCCACTGGCATTCACAAGGACTCAGTATTGTTTGCATTATCACCAACAAAACCCTTCCTGGCCACACTTTAAAACAAGATTGCTTTTTGTTCTTGTTCTTTACACACAAGGAGACCCCCCCCCCCCCCCCATTGGATAAACACTGTGGAGCTCTCTGCAACACTCTGCTCCTCACGGGCCCCGGCTTTTGGAGGGCTCCTGGGCAAGCCACTGCCAGTGCCCCACCCCCAAGCCTCCCTCCTCACCGCCGGGGCACTGGCTGCTCTTGGTGCTGTTCCTCTTCCTCGCCACCGCAAGCACAGGCAGCAAGGCGGCCGTGGCATCTCCCCCACTGCATCCTCTGGGCCAGCACGAGAGGCCACTGAACTAGCAGGCCAAAAAATGAGGTGGTGCCAAGGGACTCTTGCCCGTGGGACCCACCTGGAGGGGGTCCTTGGCGATCGCCTGGCCTTCCCTGCTGCTGAGTGCAGCCCTGTCTCTGTGCATTGATGAGAAGCGCGAGGTGGTTCACAGAACTCCACACTGGAAGAGCTGCATCCATCTTTAAAGTGCCGTGGGAGTCCCTGCTCTTGCAGCAAGTGTGCGAGGCAGATCACCTCCACCTGGATGAGCGGCTCTGCCAAAAACCTTGGGAAGCCAAGTGAACTACATCGGCTGCACCTGGCACCTGCCATCTCGGCCTTCCTGTGTTCTCTGCTTGAAGTGAAATGTGAGTGGACATTTAGGTTGGCGGCTATAGGTGCTTTGGAAGAGGCCACGCAAAAAGTCGGCCCTCTTTTTCCCATTCTACCAAGTTTCTACCTTTGTAACAGGCCCATGTTTCCACCTAGTCTTCTTCCTGGCCAGAGTAAATGCTGTTCCACTCACAGAATGGTCAGGCCGCTGCGAACACAGCAGCCACTCCCAGAGACTCTGCCCTTGCAGCTGAAGGGTGGTTGAAACTTGACCACATCTTCCATTCGGTTGCCGCTTCTGCTCTTCGGCAAGAGCGAGCTTTCTGCTGCCCTTGCTGAGTAGGTTCCCTCACTGCTCACGTGACTTCCATCTGCCATTCCTGTTGGCTGCCAGCAACTGCTAACGTTTCTGTGCCCTTAAAATTAGGCAGGCCTATGTTAGAGATAGTTCTGGGGTTGAGCATCAGTGAGGCTGTGGATGCCTAGCAGGATATTGATCCGTTTCACCTGGTGCCTTGGGGCATTCGGTGCTCTGCTTTTGGAGCAGGAACAGACAGGAGGCCGGCTCCAGGGTCTGCAGCAGAGGTCCTTTTGCAGCTCTACCAGGAGATGGCGAGGATTGAACCTGGGACCTTTTGCGTGCAAAGGAGGGTCTCTGCCACTGAAGGACACCCCTCCGCCATGGCTGTCCTTTAACACTGCTGTCCTGTAGCATGGGGTGGGCGGCGTGTGGCTTGAGCCCCATGCCTCCCAACAGCGTCCGCAGAGCCCCACTGCACCCAGTCGGCTAAATGTAATGTGTGCACAAGGGCCGGAGGGGTGGCGTGTGGCCTGCGAGCGAGTGCCATTAAGCACTGCAGCACTGCAGAGAGGGCCGCCGCCGCAGGATCTGGGGGCAGATGGCACTCGGGCGCGTTCTCTTCTTTTTGAGGGGTGCCTGACCCCTGCAGACTGCAGCCCACAGTGGGGGCTCGGGGGGTGGGAAAGGCCGAGATGTGACCCTTCTGTGCTGCAATGGGCCACTTGTGTTGGCATAAAATGCCGAGCGACGGAGCAGAGCACCTGCCATGCCTGTCTTTGGCTCTAAGCCAAGCAAATGGCACTCGCAACGGCTTCACATCACAGATAAACCCGAACTTGACTGAAACAATAATACAGGACCCTTAAGGGCGCAATGGAAACACTGCAGCGACAGGAAGGAAAAGCACCGCACGCAGCGGAGCCGTTGACAGAGCGCTGATGCAGGAAAGGAGCCTGTGACTGGCCTGGTCAGGAGCCTGGCCGCAGCGCCCCGGACCAGCTGGCGTCCAAACAGTCTTCGAGGGCAGCCCCACGTGCAGCACACTGCAGCAGCTCAGGCGGGATGCAGCGAACGCACGCGTGGCTCTGGCCGGAACGGGGCGGGGCGGGGCGGGTGGGCAGGCCGGCCTGGACGAGTCCCGGGTACCCGCCGTCTTCCCTGCGTCAGCGAAGGAGAGTGCTGCATGCTCAGCCGCCCAGGCCAAACTGTGGCAAGGCAACATGGCAGTGGCAGGTGTCACTGTGGGAGCCCAGAGCCCGCAAGACCCCTGCTGCCTCCTCACCTTAAGGCTCGGTTTGTGCAGACTTCAGCCTGAGATCCCCCCCCCCCAAGTGACCTCAATGGCTCACCTTTCTGCAAACACCCCTGGCTACCTCGCCTTATCTGGAGCTGTATGTCAGGTGAGTAAGAAGGGGGGGCAACTGCTCCCCCCATCCCTGCAGGTTGACTCTCTGATCCCATAAACCTGCAGACGTGCCCTGATATGGATCAGGCATGCAAGGCCAGGCGATTG